ATGCAGCAATCAGCAGCTTGTTGTTTTAGCTTAAGTTACTTTTTAGGTTGTTTTCTTATTGTTTCATTTGTTCTTGTTGCTGCTTTTCAGAACATTTTTAACAAAAGCTTTTAAGTGATAGAGACATTCAGATTCTGACCCAGCATAAATGACACATATCAATATTTTTAAATGTCCCGCCCCATCCAGGCTGTGATTGGTCGGTTCACAAAAAGAGAACCTGATATAGAGACTGAGTTCATGTTTGCGTGTTGCTTTCTCCAACTGTTCCGTCAAAACGTTACCTCGCACCACAATGATAGATAATAATAAATAAAATAGGTACTAATTACACATTATTTGTGACTCAAAATAATGGTTGCTGATAAATGAATTATGAAGCTTGAATTTACTGCTTCCACGGGAGCAGTAACTAACATTGGTCTCTGCACAACATGATTCAGTAGAGAATAAATGGCGTGAAATGACACATGAAAAGCAGAAAAGGCGTTGTGATAACATGCAAAATAAGAAATTTGTTCATACAACTTTGGTGACACCAGGCCTGGCTGAGATCTCTTAGGATCAGAAATGAACTGCTCGGAGCAAGAAATGCTTTTTAAAGTTCATAAACTAACTGCTGACATGTTTCTGTCACTCGCACGTCGTCTTTATACTCCTTTTATATTTGTTTTTAGCTGTCACCGTCTGTCCTCTCTGGGCCACCGTAGGTGACGTTGTCGTGTTGTGGAGAGACTTTTTGATCAGAAAAACAGTCGAACATGAAGCCTGAAGCAGCAGAAAATCTGTCAGGCTCACTGAAACACAACTAATCTGTGCTGCATGATTATGAGCAACTTTCTTAAAATTGCGAGACAATAATAATAAACGCCTGATAAAATCTTAATCTAAAGAGATAATCTGTTACACGGCTGTAAGCTAGTGGCCAAACCAGACCAACTTTCCATCTGTCAGAGGAACATTGTGTTATTTCTTCCTTCACTTTAAAGGATTGAATTGATTAAAGACGAATCATTTAAACCCACTTCTGAGATCGAAACACTTCCAGAGATTTTGAATTTTGGAGTAAATGTGTCTAAACTGATGCAGCAGACACGCAGAATATTTCCACCTGATCGAATGATGCAGCCATAAAAAAAAATCTTGTGTTTGGATCTCAGAGCTTCAAAGACAAACTGCAACACGTGTGTTTTATGGAGAATGTAAAGAAAACAATAAAACGGTTTGACAGCTTCCTGGTGATATTTCACAACGCTTGTGAACACAGAGTCTGCAGTCTAACAGGACAGTCGGTTCAGATCCATAATTTATCAGCTTTGACTCATTCTGTGAAAAACTCTGAACACTTTGGTCTCTGCAGCGCGACGACGGCAGCAGCTGCATGTTCCAACGCTTTCATTTTCTGCTGCAGGAACATTTTTAGATTTCTAATATACGAGATGTTCTTTCTTTGTCTTTATGGATTACTGTATGTAGTGAATTACGCTCCATCAGTGTCAACAAATAATTCAACTGTCACACAAGTTTCTGTGTTTGGGTGTGAGAATGTTTCCCGTTTCCTGACCACACTAAATAATAAATGGACGACTTTCTCTTGTGTATTTTCTCCCGATTACAAAAAAAAGAGGATTTAACACATCTGAAAGCAGCAAAAAGAAGCTACTCTCATTGTTGGTCATTTCTTATTCAGATTATAACACAGAGAGGAAGGTCAAATTTGTTCTGAAGTGGAAGAAAGTTTTTTAAATATACACCTTTTCTGTATTTGCATATACAAAGAACAAAGTGAGTGTCTGAATACTTCCTGTACTTCCACACACTTCTCAAAGTATTCAGGACACAAGTATAAATAAATAATGTAGAAATAATTAATTTAATTAATTAATTGAAAATAAATACTTTGGGTAATGAAGAAGGTTTTTTCTGTATTTCTAAATAAATGTCTACATAAATAAATAAATGTGGAAATGTAAGAAGAAATATAAAATGTGTACACAAATAAATGTATACATAAGTAAGGAAACAAAGACATACCTATTTATTTATTTACACTTGTGTCATTGGTTTCCAGCATCTAAAATAAATATTTACCGTTTTTTCTGACATTTTATAGACCAAATGATGAATTCATTGATTGAAAATGGATCAATCGATGATAAAATTCAGCATTAAATTAATCACATCTTTACTCTTTAGACCCAGAAGCTGACCCAGCCCTCCGCTCTCATGTTGAAACCTGACCAGTCTGTCCAGTTTCAACTCCTCAGCTCACCAGTTCAGTCTCATTCTCCCACCCCAGACGACCCGCGGACCAATCAGCCGCAGGGTTTCTAAACCAGCTTCTCAGGTGTGAAACCGGCCTGCAGCCTGAATGTGAAGACGCTGATGTCTCACGTGTTTCAGAGAGGTCGAGGCCGTGAAGGTTTCACCCACAGCTCTGAAAACCAGTTCTGTCTTTGAAGTAGGGGTGGGGGGGGGGGATCGATACACGAACGTCAAGTATCGATCTGTTATTATATAAATTGTACATGAGAATTTTCCTTTTTGGTGCTAAAATAAATTCCTTTTTCAGTGCACTAGAAGAGTTTTCCTTTGGGGGACACAATTTGAACTTGGAAAAAAGTAATAAATTGCAATATATCGCAATATGTTTAAAACTCTGGTGATTCCCACCCCTACTTTGAAGCCCCGAGCCTGACCAATCAGAGAGCTTCAAACTGACAGAAGACGGTCGGACTTAAACGTGTTAAAATGGAAGAAATAAAAAAGCCACGGCCGAAAGGTTTATGTAAATTAATTAATCTCTGGTTTCAGTTTCTCAGATGTAAACTAAAAATCTTTGGGGGTTTGGGCTGTTGGTCCAACAAAATAAAACTTTTTAAGAACAATAATGCAAATGTATTAAAGTACCTATAATCAGGGTTCCTGAGTGCAACCAAATCACAAATCTTTTGAGTTAGACAAATTTTTTCTTGGTTGCATCGGTGCAACTAACATTTCGCAGGACATTATTTTGCAGGCCGCATCTTTATCTGTTTCCTACCAACACATTCTCACTCTTAGCGACAACAAATGTGCAACTTTCAAAATGTAGACTTTCAAAATAAAACGCTAGCGTTTCGAATCGCCATTTTGAAACGGCACGTTATTAAAATTGTGAAACGTTGCAACTTGGTTGGGTTTAGGCAACAAAACTACTTAGTTATGGTTAGGAAGAGATCATGGTTTGGGTTAAAATAACAACTACGTACGTCAGTTAACACGTAAGATAACGAACGTCACTCACGCAATTTACGTAACTCATGTAAGTTCAATTAAAATATTTAATGTTGTTTTTTTTGTTTCACACGGGACACGAACACCGGTCTCCTGGTTCAAAGTCCGGGTTCTGTGTCGCTCTGCAGTTACACCACCAAACCGCCACTGTGTTGACTTCTGTGAGCCGCTATACTAACTTGAATGCGGGTAAAATAATAATCTTGCGGCTCTTCTAGACTTTCCAAATGCAAATACATCGGTTCCCATCTTACAGATACCAGATCCAGCTATTTAAGACAAAATTGGGCCGATTGGTTCATCCCTAATGTTAATTTGTGTTTTTGACTTGTTTATGCTGAAAACAATTAGAAGAACATCAGCTACTGCAGCTTGAAGCGCAGACGTCACCGAATCTTTTCTGTGTTCTTGCTCTTTTTTAAAATCAGCAAACAGTAAAAACATTCAGGTAGAATCAGTTTTAATTGCACAGACCGTCGCAACGTTAACAACATATCAACATCAAAGATTTTTTTATGGTCATAAAAACCAGCAGCTTTATAAATGTGTGGGAACAAACCGACAGCTTCAATGTGCAGAAGCTCCTCAGAGACAAACTGATTATTAACTGAGATGTGTTGCGTAACGCTGATGTGCAGTGTCCAAATTCTCACACTAACACACACACCAACACAATGAGCTGGTGATAATGCACCCTTTGTGAGAGTTTAACAAGAAGGAAGTGCTGGATTATTCATGAATGTGCAGATAAAAGTAACAGTGGTCGTCTTCATTACTTGATAAACGTGTGTTTTCTGCTGAACTCCATGTTATCACTTCACGCTCTGCAGCGTTTCAGAATTTCCTCCAACAGACTAGAAAAACTAAAGCTGAACATCTGCTGAGTGTTTGTTCTTCACAACTCTGCAGGACGAAGGAGCTGAAAATAAACCGGAAACACTTCCATCCATCACACCGTTACACAACAGCTGAGAGACGGAGAGCTTCTGCAGACGTTACTGAGACGATGGAGACGAAACCAGAGCTGAAAGATTTCCCTTTAGACACAAGTTAATGTCACTTCATCCAATATAAAGCCTTAAATCAAATTTATTTACGGTTATCAATACAGTTTAACCAACAGGCTAGCCTGTTCATCTCATCTTAGCAAGCAACAAAGCATTCACTCCGATCTACCACGTCTTGTTTCTTCAAAGATATTTTACATCAACATGTTTTATAATCTTTACAACAAAAAATCACTTCCTTTTTTTATTTAATTTGTTTTTAAATATGTTAGGCTTTTTTTTATTTAATAATTGTTTCACTACTTCTTTTATTTTTTTCTAAAATTCTTTATATTAAACATTTTTACAACATAGTTGTAGTTTTAAGATTTACAAAAAATATTTTACAATTTTTTGTTTTTTTCCTTATTTTAAGTCTTTAAATTGTTTCAGGATTTCTAAAATGCTTTATGTTAAAACATTTTACAATATAGTTTATATATATATAAAGTGTTTAAGGGTTTATTAACTAACTAATTAACATACTTTTTTATTTGTATGAGTCTTAAATGCTTCATACTAATAATAATAGTAATAAAAAAAATATAACAGTATATTTACAATTTTAACATTCTATATAATAATTTGGGGGTTTCAAAAAATATCCAATAAATATTTTTTAATTTCAATAAAAATTCTAATATTTAATATTTTACCTTTAAAAATATATATATATCCTATTGTTGCTTTTTAAATTTGTGTTTCTGGAAAAATACAATTCACAGACCCAATGAAACGTGGACACAAACACACCCTGCAGCCGCTAACAGCAGCAATCACTGTACACACACACACACAAAGGCATACAACATTCCTGCATATGTACACGCATGCATGCACACCCACTTCACCCGTAATAAGCAGGCTGCGTTTCTGAAAGAGGACGGCAGCGATTATGTAACCACACACACACACACACACTCACTCTGAGGCTGCAGGAACAGTCTGCATGATATAAAGAATAAACCTGCAGGAAACAGGCTGAACGTGGACTCGTTTCAGCTCTGAATCTCAATCAGAGACAATATTTCCTCACAGGAACAGAGAGCAGAGCGCCTGAACTGGAGCCGAGACGCCGAGGACGAGTCCTAAAATGTCAAAATCAATCAGCTCCCCTCATTTCTCCCGCAGCAGCACTCTTTGCACGAGACACGTCTTCAGCCTTCCAAATGTGAAATCTACGGCTGCAACTAACAATTATCCTCATTATCAGTCAATCTGCTGACTGTCAGGGTTTATTGGAGATGTAAAATCCAGACGCTGGAGAAACTGACACCAGAGAGCGATTAATCAAACTACTTGCCGATTGATTTTCTGTCTAGCGACTAATCGACTGATCTTTTTACCCCAGATGAAATTGCCGCTCTAAGATTTTGACTTTTCAGTAAGAAAGTAAAACAGTTTTGGTTTTTAGGATTTCTATTTTTAGTTTCCAAAACCAGAAACACAAGCAAAACCTTAAAGAATGGATTAAACAGTGTTTGTAAAATGCTAATGTTAGCATGTCCAGCTCACATCATTAGGTCACTACAATATATGTTGGAGTTACAGGTTACGTAACAAGGACTGAAGCATCCACTGTGTTGACAGAAACAGTAATTTTACCTCTCTGGTCTACCAAACTAACCAATCGAGGCAGCGGGAGACCAGTGCTGCTTTTATCAGTGGAGCCTGGCGGCTTTAACCAGAGCGATACAGCGACGGTTTCTGGTTAAACAAAAAGGATCTTACTCTTTAATAAAAGGTCTCTCTCTGCAGGGATCCTTTCAGTAGTGCTGTCAGACACTGGTAAAAGCAGTCTGAGCCTGTCAGCGGCAAAAACAAGAACTTTAGTGGACGAACTTTGAAGGGAAACAAGAATTGTAGCCCTGTTGGACTGATGTTTCCCAAAATGTTTCACCGTTAAAGTTTCCCTTCAACGATTTGTCCACATTCAGAAATACGCAGAACATCACCAGACGTATCCTCTATTCCAAAACAGGCAGACTATTTACCAACATCAGCATCATGAGCTTCATACGGCACCAACAGATCCTGCAGGAGTCTCATCTTTTGACCTCAACTGGCGGCCATGTTGCAGAAACACAAACAGAAAAGCTCTGCGTCTTCTTACCTGTGCAGTGTGTGTGACGTTTTCCCGCCACGCAGTCCAGCACAGCGAGGGTCAGGTTGTCCGGTGTGTCGGGAGGAAGAGGCGTCCCTCCTCCTCCTCCTCCTCCTCCTCCTCCTCCCCCGCTGCTGGTCTCTGTGATCAGGCTCGCCTCGGAGCTCTGCTCGTCGCTGGACAGAGACGGACTGCGCACGTCTCCTCCTCCAGAACCGGAGCCGTTAGCGCTGCTGGGCACCGTCACCAGACCGGTCCCTGCGGCTGAGGGCCAGGAGGGGGGGTCCTCGCTGTCGGGGCTGCAGGGGGTCAAAGGTCAAACAGGTAAAATTTCTCTACATGTTTAGTGTTATTATTAATTTATCGGTTAATCGAGAAAATGGTTATTAGTTAGCTCCATGTTGCTGATCATATTTATTTGTTGGTCAGCGATGCTTTATGGGAAATGTAGTAGCATTTATTCATACTGAAGGACTAAAAGTCTGGATTTCTCCACCTCTGCTGCCCTGACTTCATTAAACTCTGACTCTTTATAGATACTAAACTACAGGAGTCTCCCTTTGTTACAAGCCTGAAACTGGCAAACTGGTAAATCTGGACCACAAAGCTGGATCCGTGGATGGATTACCAACAGGGCCCTGTAACGGTTCACTTGTTATCCAGCAGTGGGCTGCGTCTAGAAAGCAACAAACCAACATTTAAAAGAGTTTGGAAATACTGCCTCGTCCTTTAAAGAGACATGTGTGGATCACAGAATAGGGAAATAAACGCTGCAGCCTACTGCTGGACAACAACAATAAAACTTTCCCCTCAGGTTTCTGTATGAAACAGTAAACGCCCTCTCTTCACAGTTCACGTTCCTAAATATATCTGTATGTTTCACAGAGTTTCCAGAACACGGGGCCAACCGGGGGCCACGGTGCTCACGTTTGCCCCTGGCCCCCCTTACAGGTTAGTCCGGCCGTGTCCAGGTTCCCTCTTCATTTAAACCCCCCTCCACGGGTCTCACCTGAACACCTCCCTGGCCTGGCCGCTCTCCGGTGACGTCTCCCTGAAGAAGGGTACGACCCGGGACAGGCTGGCCCTCCGGCGGGACGCACCGGTGCCCCCGCTGGCCTTGTCCGCCACCCCGCCAACAAAGCCCCCGGCCCGGGTCAGCGCCGTGGTCTGCTTCTTCAGGAACTTCTCCAGCGGTTTCATCCCCGCCGGCATGGTGGGACGCTGGGTGGAGGTGGTGGTTGGGGGGGGTGCAGATACGCTGGTGCGTGGATTTAAAGGATGGGGATGCAGAGGTGAGGGGGGGAGGGGGGGGGGCGGTGGCTCCTACATCACGGAGCCCCCTCAGCTCGGGGTGCGCAGGTGTGAACAGGTGTGACGGACCCTCCGAGGCTCTGAAGGCTGCTCTGCAAGAACAACCCGATGTTTAACCCATTTGTGGAGGCGCAGGTGGATGCGTGGGTGGCGGAGGTGGGCGCTAGTGTCCCGTCTCTCTCGGATATCACCGCACCGCGATATTAACCCCTTTAACACAAGAACACTCCCAGGAACCTGCTCCGTGTGGCCCCCGGCCGCTCCTCCGCTCCGGGACCGAGCGCTCGGTCTGAAGGCGGAAAACCCGGAGATACGAACCCCAAACGGAGCTCTTGCCGTCCCCCCCGGTGCCTCTGCAGCTCTCCGGTGTCTCCTCAGTGAAGCGTACCGGGACAGCGGCGGATTCCTCCGTGAGATCTCGGGGATAAACGGCGGATGAATGATCGACGTTAGGAGGGTTTGTTTTTTCTTTCACCTCATCGCACACCTGAAGCAGGAAAAACCCGCACGGCCCGGTGCGTTTGGGTGTTGTAGGTTTTCTCAGCAGCAGCAGCAGCAGCAGCGGCGGTGTTTTCCTTTTTTCAGGTCAGATACTGCAGAGTCCTCCTGCCTCACGGTCCCCCATCGGCTCACCAACACACTGCCAGGCTCTCTCCACCTCTCTCTCTCCTCCCTTTCTGCTAAATTAGTGGAATGAGAAGTGACTCGTAACATTCACACTCCTCCCTCTCCTCCCTCCCTCCCTCCAGCTCTGATCTGCTGCAGTTGCGCGCTCCCGACACACGGACGGGACGGGCGCGCGCATGCACATTTATACTTCCAGTGCTGTAAAATTGATGTAAATGGAAATATCCCTGACTACAGGGATCAGTAATATTCATCAGTAACTCTGCACATTTACAGATTCTGCTCCGAGACGGAAACACCGCGAGATTTCATCAAATCACAGAAAACACTGATCACTGGAGCAGGAGGAAATAATTAGATCCTCTATCAAGGATCATTACCTATTCAGTACCACAGAGTAACTCCAGGAGTTCAGCATTACCTGAGTAAAAGTACACAAGTATTATCAGCAAAAATGTATTTTAAGTATAAAAAAGTAGGTTAATTATTCAAAATGGCGCCTTTCACATATAAGATAGACTTTATTGATCCCACACTGGGGAAATTCACTTGTTACAGCAGCTCCAGATAAAACACAACAAACAGAAAAATACACATTAAATACAAAAAAATATAGTATATCGGAACAATAGAAATAGAGAATAAGACTTATAGAGACACTTTATACAGATGTGATTGAACATTGCACAGGTTGCAGTAGCAGGTGGAGGCTCGATGTACACAAACACATTTACACACATTTAAATAGCCTATTCAGCTTTATTCCTACGATCCGATGGCTGTACGAAGGGTGTGTTTCTGTACGTGAAGAACAAAAGTTTCGACCACACAAAGAGACAAATTTAAGAAATCTCTGGTGTGAGAAGCTGGAAGCTCAGCATCACAATCTGTAGACAGGAGTAGAAGCTTAGTATCAGCTGAACATACTGACAAACCAGTTTGAACCTGTTCAGTCGGGCCCCTGAACAGACCACAGAGGGCCCACAGGAAAACGGGGTCCCAAAATATTTAGAGGCTAACTGCACTGTGGTGGTTCAGCAATGATCTCTGGTCACTTCTGCTTTTCTGGACTGGAAAACTAATTTGAAATCAAAGAGCGTTCTCCCCCAGACTAAACTGGAGTTTTAATCATTTACTTGTTCTTCTTTTGGGGCCAAAACTATTTCAAATGTAAGTAAAACTTACTGTTTTTATCTGGTAAAAAATACATTATTTAAAACATCAATATAACAGGTGAGTGTACGAAGACATACCAGGCCAAAACATTACATTTCAACCTGTTCTCACTCCCAAGACGCATGGTCAAGACCCCTTAGCGTCACTTTGTAACACCCTGGGAAGCCTCTTAGCTTCATATTTTAACACTTAAGGTGTATAATATGTAACAGTGACGTCCGAGTAAGGAGGTGGATGGGGTGGACGGCCAGAAACTGGACATTCAACCAGGAGACCTGCGTTTGTTTCCTGTGTGAAACAAAAATTTAATAGTGATTTTTTGTTTTATTCGTAACGTAGATTACGTAAGTAGCGTTACTTAAGAGAGTAACTTATTTTCAGCCAAACCATGATCTCCTTTAAACCTAACCAAGTCAGATGCTTCATGTTTCACCACGTTAACTAGCAGTTTTATTTTGAAAGTCTAACCTGACGATGTCTATTTATTCTTGCTAACTTGACTGCGGAGCCCTACATGTCAAAAATGACAAAGGGTACCCATGGCGACGCCAAGGGGTCTTGACCAAGCGTCCATGTGATGAGTCGGGATGTTTTGGTTTTTCATGTGAATGCATCACTGGGGCCCGAGCCCCTGAGCCCATCACTGATCACGTGACCACCGATTCATTCTGTCGTGGAGACCATCAGCGTGTTATCAGTCAGGTCTCTGATTCACCATCACAAATCATTACAGGTTATTTTTAGAAAGATCAATTATGAGTCATTGAGTTTGAGGAATTATTACCAGTGGACAGAATACACTGACCTGAAGCCGGCCGTGGAGCTGGAGAGTGAGGACATTTTGTTAAAACAAGGACATTTCATTAAATTTGGACATTTTGCTAAATTAAGCAAATGTTGTAAAATTCAAAATATTTTGTCAAAGTGAGGACATTTTGTTAAATGTTTTGACAATTTGCGAAATTCAGAACATTTAGCTAAATTCAGAACATTTAGCTAAATTCAGCAAATGTTGTAAAATTCAGGACATTTTGTCAAAGTGAGGACATTTTGTTAAATTTCTTGACAATTTGCCAAATTCAGAACATTTTGCCAAAGTGAGCAAATTTTGCTAAATTATGAACATTTTGCTAATTTCATGATATGTCAAATTCAAAACTTTGCTAAATTCAGCACAATTTGCGAAATTCAGAACATTTAGCTAAATTCAGAACATTTAGCTAAATTCAGAACATTTAGCTAAATTCAGCAAATGTTGTAAAATTCAGGACATTTTGTCAAAGTGAGGACATTTTGTTAAATTTCTTGACAATTTGCCAAATTCAGAACATTTAGCTAAAGTGAGGACATTTTGCTAAATTATAAACATTTTGCTAATTTCATATTATGTCAAATTCAGCACGTTTTGCTAAAGTGAGGACATTTTGCTAAATTATAAACATTTTGCTAATTTCATGATATTATGTCAAATTCAGAACATTTAGCTAAATTCAGCAAATGTTGTAAAATTCAGGACATTTTGTCAAAGTGAGGACATTTTGTTAAATTTCTTGACAATTTGCCAAATTCAGAACATTTTGCTAAAGTGAGGACATTTTGCTAAATTATAAACATTTAGCTAATTTCATGATATTATGTCAAATTCAGAACATTTAGCTAAATTCAGCACATTTTGCTAAATTCAGCAAATGTTGTAAAATTCAGGACATTTTGTCAAAGTGAGGACATTTTGTTTGTGTTCCCAAAACATGATTAACACACACCCAGCAGATCCACATGGCAGCTGATTTAATGAAAAACTCCTGTTGTTTGATTTTACAACACACGATAAGCTCATTAAATACGATGCCTTGTTATAGATAAAAGGCCTCACAGATGTTTTACAGTCATGATGCAGATTGGACCAATCAGGATGAAGCTGTGAAGCTCTGCAGGAGTTCACCTGAGGTCATTCATTATTTTTTATTCTCCTCATCGCTGCACACAGATCTGATGCTTTCACGTCTTTGGTTTAAGACAGACAGCAGGAAAGCTGTTTCTATGGATATTTTTTATTCTGTTCCTACCAGTGTGGATAAGAGCACATCTTCAGACATTTACTTTCACCTCCACACAGCAGACTGTCAGAACGTTTCTTCTTCCACCACTGTGTTAAACACCAAACATGTCAGAGGAACAACTCTGGATTATGTTAGGCTGCTGCAGGACAAACGTTTCTGAAACATTTCCAGGGTTGTGGAAATCAGCGTGAAGCAGCTTAAGGAAGCCCGAAACTCAGGAAGGAGGCGAGACGGTAAAGAAACAACCCGGGTCAGACTGTTCATCAGTGTCTCAGTGTAACTGTGTGTCCACCAACGCATCAGTGAACATGTGTGTAACAGGCCCGGGGTGGACTCAGCGTGTGACATCAGCCGGACGACAGAATGGGAGCGCTCTTCTGCACACGCTCAGTGGCTCCAGTGACGGACAGACACATGACTCAGTATGGGAAACACACACACGTTTGTTCCTCTATCCCTGCGGGGACATCTCACTGACATAATGCATCTCCAACCATCACGACTGCCTGCAGTTTCTACCGGCGGGGACAGTTCATGACTCCCCGTCGGTTAAAGGCCCCACCAGGATATAAAAACATGAAACGCAAAGTCCCCAAGACCCGACTTACGGATCTTTCACGTGATGAACTTGTGAAAGATGTTTGTAAATCAGTTGTTTTTATTACAATAATTTTACGTACATCAGCTCTTATATCCCTTATTTTAATCATTATGTGATAAAAGTTATAGAGAGTTATTTTTCTGAGGACTAATGAATGAATGTACTGGCTCACTTTTATTATTTTATAATACCCGTACTGTGGATGTATCAACGTCTCCGTTACGTAATAACAAGCTATCGGTTAGTAGCGCGACATAAGCTGAATTTAACGTACTTGTAAGCGGTCCACTATTTACAAACAGGCGGGGCGACGGCTTAGGGTACAACCCTTATTATACACCCATTTGGCTTATTTTATAAATCTGAAAATTAAATGTCGCCTGCTTAAAGTTTCAGTAGGTAACTTTTATAAAAATAACCTTTTGGCATATGAGACAGATAATCAGGTTCCTCTGGCTCCTCCTACTGATGCAAAGTACAAGCAGCATGAGGAAGACGTGGGAGGTCTTCATCTCCTTCATCTGGTCTTCTGTTGAAACTTCATATCCAAGTTGAGTTTGAGGGCCGCGCAGTGAAAGGGTTAAATTTAACGGTCTGAGTCTGGCTTTGTGTTCAGCAGCTGCTGCTGAATATTCATGAGGAGACGCTGTCTGCAAGCTGATTGGCTGGTTGGGCCTGTCAATCACAGAGTTTGAATAATACCCCCCACATTATAAATATTCATTTTAACGGTCAGAGCAGGTGTGTTTGAAAAAATAAAAGTTCAGCGAGTGAGTCTGGTGTAAAGAGGAAAGGAAGAAATAAGGTAGGAAAGGAAGGAAGGAAGCAAGGAGGTGAAAATGAACCTTTCAGACTGGAGAACAAACAAACAGCCGGCACTTTTCTTATTATTCTGTTCTTTATTGATCCTCTGAGTCGACGACAACGTTCTCCACATACAAACAAAACCAGTGATGCATCATCATCATCACAAACAAACGGCCGCCACGTGAACACAGTCTGGTCAGCTCAGGTTAACAGGTCAGATTATTAAAAATATCAACACTTCAACACATGAAGAAGAAACGATTAACACTCTAAACCTTCTACCATCGACGTCGAGAAGATTCATAAACCCAACGAGCCGAAGCCCTGCAGGCTGCAGCCTTTAATGAGGAAGGCCTCCTCCTCCTCCTCCTCCAACAGGCCGTCGTCTTAAAGCCTTTGTCTCACTTTCAGGGAGAGAACTAAAAGCATTTTTCTAAATTTTTGTAAATTTGAAATTGAGGCGGCGGTGGCAAGTGTTTAGAGTCTCGTCGCTGCGGTGGAGCAGAACGCCGCCGTTCATGTTCTTTAAAATAAAACGTGAAGTCAGAGTCACCCTTCAGAGAAGACTTCAGCCGTAGTGAAGATCCGTCTCTTTGAAAAACAGCCATTAAGCTCGGCGTCTGCCAGAGAAACTACAGTACACATGAACCTGCTGTCGAGTCCATCTTATGGATCAGTATCGGGGCCGATCAGGGAAGATTTTAAAGGAACAGTACACGCTGAAACAAACTCCAGTTTCTGTAGTAACGACTCCAACAGACCGAGACGGCGTCTGTCTAGAGGATCGTTTCTCAAACAGACAAACTTTCACATAAACTACAGAAACTTTTCTGAATCAGGACCTCTTGTAGCTGCGGCTGCGTTTTCTGAGCATCACTGGCACAAACGCTTATTTTCAGGTTGCAGTTTAACAGGAGGCAGCGACTTAAGGACTCCAACAGGGCAGGAAGTCACGTGGCGCAGCGCGTTTGGCGTTAACTTCCTCTGGCAGAACGAGCTTCCACATTTTACCCGTTTGTGCATCATCACGCAGGACAAATCTGGAATATTTGTCTTTAATTTGACCTCCAGCGCTTCATTCATACATTTAATGTAAAATAAACTGCAGGAGGAAGAAGAGGAAGAGGAGGCCACTTCTAAACAAGCGTGTCTGCTTCCCTTAACTCAGGACGAACGAGTGATGAAGAGCAGCTCGTTTCAGCCTCATGAAGTGGTTTCTTCAACAAAATGAGTCAGCAGAGTCACCGTTTCCCTCCTGCATTTACTAACAATAATAATAATAATAAAAAAGAAAACCAGTATTAAAATCAAACAGTGACGTTTCAGAAAGGAAAGGAATAGAAAAGTGAAAGCTAAAGCCTCGCCGCTCCTTCTCTCTAACTTCTGTTAACATTCGAGGTCCCTGCAGATGAATCAGAAGCTGCTCTGAAGCAGAATTATTACAATATGTTTCTATTTCATCCATTCAAGCTTCTATATACACATTTAGATTTCTATATACAGCGACGATAAACGCCTCCACCCGGCGGCGGCTTCTCTCAGACGGACGACAGACTTTGTGCAACTTGTGCCTCTAATTTGACTTTCTGCTCATCAGGAGGAAGAAAACGAAACGCTGCCGTCAGAAAATGAACTGTGCGATCGGACGAGCAGATTAACTGAGGTTTTAAAAGAAGGGGGGCGCCGCTGATGTCACACGTTAACGTCTCTTTAAAAGTCCCCGGGTGGGCGACGGCAGTCCTGTCGTGTCTTCAGTTAAATTATTATTTCATTTTAAATGAGACACTAGCTGCTACATTAGCTTCCATCTGCGATGTGATAGGTTGCTCTGTGTGAAACGGCCGGTGCAGTTCAGAGGTCGTGAGTCCTGGTTAACTTGTAGTGACAGCTGTGATTGGTCTGTGTGTCTCTTCCGGCTGGGCGGCCATCGCTAAGCTAACAGTGGATGTGACGCAGCTGTGGGGACTAACCTGGAGGTTTAAATCCGCTTGCAGGTCTTTTTTATCCGGCTGTCCGTGTTTTTGTCGTGTTGCAGGAAAGTAAAAAAAAAAAAACAACACGTCTCCAAGCTTAAAAAAAATAATTAAAGATTTGTATTGTTTTGGTCTTTCCCAGCTCTGACCTGCAGATAAACACCGCCGTGCTTTAGTTTTCTTATTGGAAGAGAAACGACAGCAGTTTTATTCTGCTCTCACGACTGCTGCTGAGTTAAAACGCCAACAATCGCGTCGACGAGCGGCCGATTTATCAACTACTAGATCAAAAGAAACTGAAATGGCGAGACTTTTCAGATCATTTAAACACGCGACCTTTGACTCTGAGAAACTGTGACGGCCCTTTTACCGACTAAGCGGTCTTGAGCCGCAGCCTCCGGTCCGGGACAGATTTCTGAATCCAGGTTTCACATCTAAAGTGAGATAAAGTGAGTTCTAGTAACGAGCACAGAGCTGACGAGTTAAAGAAACGAAACAGAGAAAGAAAAGTGAACTGTATGTCTGTGAGTCTAACAAACTGCCACCATCTGGAGGAGTTCAGGAAGCACCGGGTCAGCCATGAACGTATCAACGCGACACTGAGAGCTGCATTCAAACTATGCACACAACCGATTCTCACAGACAGCCCTCAAACTAACCGTCAGCTGTTTAAATTTCAGTGTGCTTCAGTTTTTATCTTGCTAAACGCTTTTGGAGGAGCAGTGACGCACACGAACCTCCAGTTTCCTGTTAGAACAGCTGGTCTACAGTGAGCTGAGAGAGAAACCGTTTATACCGTCTGTTTTCAGTCCGACGTTTCAACACAAAACGTTACTGCGAAGAAGAGAAAAAAAAAACTAAAACAGACTTTCTCTGACCCCAGCGTTGCGGCTCAGAGTCCGACTCCGTGAGGCGCTAAATGCTTCAAAGAGGCTCTAAAGGGTTCAGAGTCGTCAGTCCGACCGGCAGAACGTTTCCAGGTTCAGCTTTGTTGCTCAAAGACACGTTGGTGGGATCAAACCTGTGGCTGCAGAGTTACAGAACAGTCGCCAACCCGCCTGACTGCTACAAGGATGAAAACAAAGAGGAGAAAGAAAAAAAAAAAGAAAAAGAAAAATAAGAGGAGGGGAACAGTCATTTTCCACCAGCGACGCTGTGGGTCACCAACTTCGCCTCCCACCATCCGTCCGCCTGCCCCCCCCACCTCCCTTGGGTGACGCGGGCGGTTGCTGTTGGAGACTGCAGCTCCTCACTGACCCTCCCACCAGCTCCTGCAGACAGAACAAAGGAGAACCTGCTCTCAGACACGACGGCCACACGTGTGATGTCACAAACACGGAGCAGCCGTTCAGCGAAAACTCACCTGTAGCTCCTGGATCAGAGCGAGCCCGAGACTGGGCGGCCGGGAGGGGCGAGGGGCGGGGTCACTCTGAGGCAAAGTGCAACTCCGGAGGGGGGGGCTTGATGGTGACGGGCTGGGAGGTGCGGCGGGGGGGCGACGGTTTGGGCTGGGCCTGCTGCTGCATGGTGTCGTAGTACGTCACACCGCCGTAGGTCACCTGGGCCTGACCCTGAGACAGAGAGACGACTGCATCATCAGAGGAGCTCGGATCCAAAAGCACGAATATTAAATATGATTTGTCTCATTTCTTTTGAAGACGTAAAAGTGTTCCTGTCACCGTTAAGACAAACCGTCAGTCTGGATCCTTCACCAGACTCGGACCTGAGGACTCAACGTCTTTATTGATTGTAAATATAAAAGGTTTATTAGCCCGAGATGTAAACAAGCAGAGCGAAGAATGAAGTTAACGGAATAAACTGCATTATTTTACAACAGACAGGAACAACAAATCCATAAACATTACTATATGAAATTCAGCTATTTTAGTTATAACAAAGTTCAAACCTAATTAATTTAGAAAGGCCCGTACAAAGCAAGTGAAAACTGAAAACATCACATTGATTTAGGGCTGGGCAATAAAACAATAATAATAATTATTTTCCTCAACAACATGATAAATGTTTGATTAAATTTGTATGAATCACAAACAAATTAGCACTTATTTTTTCTATTAGAATAATAATTTTGTTGAGAAAAAGGGACTGAAACAAGATTTACTAATCATATTTGTTGAGAAAGATTTCATCATAAGAGTTTTTAATGTTCCACCTCAGACTTGTGAAGCGATCCTCTGTTAGGCATCAAGTGTTTTTCCCGTTCTGACCATAAAGAAAAGTTTAAACGCATTAATTAACCATCCGGTTTCTTCAGTTTTCACTCAGGAGCAAAAATCAGCTTTTAAACTAGAAAGAAATAATGATTTGACTTTTATTGTGATAATTATTGTGATTATTATTATTATTATTATGAAGACTGTCGGCCACTCGGCCACGTTTTAGTGAGGACTTAAAGTTAATTAAAGAGCTGATCATCTTAATGATGGTCGGTCACTATTCCACATAACGGCAGCTGAATACAGGAACGTGAACCAAATCTCTTGTGGCGTCGTTACGTTCTTCCCTTAACTTAATAAAGCAGTTGTGTCCAGGTACTTTGGAGCGTCGCTGAGAGTTTGTGAAACTTCTCTTCTACCCTCGGCCATTTAATTAAGGCTGACGACACGAGCAGGAAGCTTAAGGACCAATCACAGCTGTTCATTTTGTGACGTCTGCAGCTTCGTTTTGAAGAATCTCACATTCCAGGAACGGCGTGCATGATATTTCCTGAGCAGCTCGCCCTGCTTTGCAGCGACACTACGTGAGCTTCGGGTAAAGTTAGCGCTTTAGATTTGTGTTCATGCGTTTGGTCTGATGTAAAGTTTCCTAACATCTAGTAAAAAAATGAAGTAGAAATACATTTCATGTACGTTAAGAGAGGCTGATCGACGGCGTTCATAAAGCCTGTATAGCGCGGAGCGGGTACCTGTGGAGTCGGGTACATGGTGGGGTAGGGGAAGGTCATGACCCCTGGCGGAGGGTAGAATGGCGGCGGCAGCAGCTGCTGTGGTTGCCCTGGCGACAGAGAAACAGGAGGGCCTCCGTAGAGGGCGGGGTTAGCGATCGGGCCGCCTGATTGGTGGGGATGGAGACCTGAGGACGAGGCAGAGAGATGAGTAACGCACACAGAAATAAAACATCGACTCATCCTTAAAAACAAGAGACGCCACCGACCCGGGTGGGGCATGTGCATCTCAGGCTGGACCAGCATGCCTTGCGGCGGGATGGGGGCGGGGCCTTCCCCGTGGGCGTAGATTGGTCCCTGGTACGACACTGAGACAGAGACAGAGGAAGGTTAATGACGGCACATTCACTCAAGTACAATCGTGCAGTACTTCTACTTCACAACGTCACAGAGGAAATATATTTTTATTATCTGAGCGCTGCAGTTTCTTGTTTTAAGTGAAGCAGCTTTAAAATATGATGCAGCAGCTTCATCCAACGCTGCTCACACATGACCGGGCAAAACTCTGCGTAATGACAACTTTTAATTTAAGGTTTTACTCAAGCAAAAGATCAAGTACTTCTTCCATCACTGATCGGTTTCTATCAAACTTCTCAGAATCCCAACCGTTAACAACCTGAAGCTAACAGACAGTTTTAAAAACAACAACATCGTGATTTCATTTTCCTCAGCAACAAAATAACAAATTTTCAATAAATGTTTGCTTTAATTCAATTAAAAACAAACAATTTAGCAGTTTAAGATTTTTATTTTGTTGATGAAAAAGATTTGACTTAATTTAAATTTGAACAGAAATCTGACACTGATCCTGTTAATTATGGATATCAAATTAATTATCGTGTTTTGCGTGAATGTTTTATTGCTGGTCTGTCGCGAGCCCGCATCGAACACAAGTCCAGACCAGAAAAGTCTCTTAATAAGCTCGTCCTCGTTAATGATCTCCAGAGTCAGCAGCAGTCACCTCCAAAGTTAACACAGTCGATAAAAAGCTGCAACTCTTAACAGACTCAGACCCACAGAAAAACACAGGTGTGTGTGAGAGACGGTGACGCCTGAGCTTTACTGCCCTCTGCTGGTCGGCAGGTGAACTACTGACACACCCGTCTCTGATTTCCCTCCTGACGCTTTTCTTAAAAACACGTCAAACCTCCAGGTTTTTTGTAATTATCTAATCTGCTTGGTTCTTGATATATTACAGGGTTTTCTGTACGGAGGTTAGAAGTGATCCTGTAGATTGCTTGTACTTTATTTGTGGTATTTATCTAGACAATATGTTAGTATTTCAATTACATGTGTACTATTTGCTTAGTGTCTGGGCTGCTAATATCCAAGCTTCAGATAGTTTACCAGAGAATCACCTTTCACTTTCAAAAAAAAAACTTAAATCACTGAAGAAAATTAACTTTTCCACGATGTTCTAATATTTTTTAAAATTACATCAGATTATCGGACTAAGATCAAACAGGTCAGAACTTTCTTGTTCCACGGAGACATGGACCGTCACTAACAGCTGCTCACTGACTCATCTTCACCCGATATCCAGTGTGCGTGTGTTGGATTTAATGTTTTCATCTTACTGGGTTCGTAGTAGTGTCCATCCATCACTCCCAGGTGCATGGGCGGCGCCGGCTCCGGTACGGCCCTCTGCCGCTGGGAGGAGTAGCGTTTGGCCCGATTGGCGCCGACACCGATCTCCTCTATGCCGGAGAACTGAGGCGGGCCGCCGGGGATGTGGATTGGGTTGGGGAGGCCTGAGGACGGAAACATGAGACAGTCAGTTTCAGATAGACTCACTCTGCAGAATGAACTAACAGGGTGACGCTTATTTAACACGAAACTGCTGGAAACGTGGCGAAGCTGAAGTAACGTGTCGCTCGAGCTTTTTCCAGGACAGCTACATTTATTCATTTAGCTGATGCTTGTGTGTCAGAGGACGCACGCCTCTGGACGCGTCACAGTGGGGATGTTTCCACGGGCATGACCTTATGGAAGAGGCTATACGGGGAATACTCGGCGAGTCTGTCTGCAGATGAACCGGGAGGAAGTCGGACACAGAAACGGCAGAGAACCCAGTCAATTTTCAAAATAAAACACCCCGTGCAGACTCACCGATAAACACAGTTAAAACAGACAGAAAAAAGAAAGCGTTTAACTGCGTAGCCTGCGTGGTGGAAGCAAACAACAAAAGCTGAACAAGTCAGCGACGTCTGGCAGACAAAACGCTCTGTTCTTGAAACGCGTTCCCGCCACAATATCAACGCAGACTGCTAGTGTTGTAGTACTCGAGACCGGTCTTAAGACCACTCTTTGATGGTCTTGGTCTCGTCTGGGACTCGACCGTATTTGTTACTCGGTCTTGTCTCGGTCATTGAGGACTCTGGATTTTAAGACCATAACTTTGGGAATATCAATAAATTGCTTTTGCATCGTCTGATTTATTTGTTAACAACCTAACTTTGATTTGATGTAAAACTTATTGCTTCAAATCCAACAAATAACCCTAATTAAAAATGTGTTGTCCCCGGTAACGACCGCCCCCCGCGATGGTCAGCATGGAAAAGGAGCGTTGAATAAAGACTCTTAAGTTGATTTCAGCTCTTACTGTTTGTTTTAATGGGAACATTTGAGAAGTACCTGTGATCTCGTTCCACATTTTATTCTGAGTCATGTAATGAGGGGAACTGGTCTTGGTCTCGACTTGGTCTCGGTCTCGACTTGGTCTCGGTCTTGGCTAAAACACTGCTGACCGCCACATATTGATTTATTTTTTTACTAGGCCTATGTAAAATCTTATTTGATAACACAGCGCTGTAGTGCATTCGCGCAGCACATCCTGTCGCTCGTGTCAGTTCCCCGGGTTAAGGTTGTCTCCCCTCACCTCTGATCTCAGACCGCACGTAGGACGTCGGACTCTGGCGCCAGCTCTGTCCTGCCAGACTGAGTCGAGCCACGTCCTGGTCCAGCTCTGCCAGCGCCCCTCCTCCTCCCGCCTGACTCGGCCCGTCGCCTGCTCCCGCCCAGCTCTTCCCTCCCACGCCGCTGGGGGAGGACGAGGCGTTCCCCGCGGCTGCGGACTCCTCCACGGACGGCTGCTTGCTGCCCAGGTCTGCGGGCCGAGAGCGAGTCCGGCGAGCCGCCGAGTAAGACTTGCGCTCCACCGGCCGCTCAGTGGGAGGAGAGGCTTCCCGATTGGTCGCCGCAACTGACGACTGAAGGGAGGGGTCAGAGGTGGGGGAGGAAGCAGCCAATCCTGTCGCAGATCTGTCGGCGCTCCCTTGCTGCTCCTGTTGCTGTCGCCTCGGCGATGCAGACTTGTAACCGCCCGGCTGTGATGCAGTCGTCGTCGTCGTCTCGCTAAGGTCCTGTTCCCGAACGCCTCCTTGGCTGACTGTGATGTCCTCAATGACCACAGAGGGTCCGCCCCTTCCACCGCCACCACCCCGCCCCCCTCTGCTGACTCCACCCTTGTCTCCTGTGGGGTCGGACTGAGCTTTAGGGCCCTGTCGTTCCCGGGGATGCATCTGGGGTGCGTTTGATTCATTATTCCTGTAGTGAGGCGCGGGGTGCGTCTGATTCTGGTAGGACAGTCTGTTGCGGGAGGGAGGCGGTCTGGAGGAACTGCCGCCACGCTGAGCAGAGGAGAGAGGGAGCGAGGATGGCGGTGTAGAGGAGGGGTGGGGGGATGAAGGCGGAGGAGCTCCTCCTCGGTTCAGACCTCCTCCTCCTCCGCTGTGCCACGATCGGACCGGACGCTCTCCTCCGTCTCTCCAGCGCTTGTCTCTGCTGGGAGACGTACTCTGTCTGCAGGGGGACACGGTTCAGATTAAAGTCATGCAGGGAACTCGTTCATCAGACTGCAACAAGGTCAAACTCCCTCTCTTTTCTCACCTGGGCCGCCGCTGCCTGTACGACCGGTCTCCGGAGCCGCCGCCGTTTCGGATGTCGTAACCGTAGATGGCGATGAGCTCCTCGCGGCTCTTCGGCGCCTGCTCCTCTTCCCTGAACCTGTCGTGCTCCCAGCGACCCTCGTCCTTCCACAACTTCCTGTTTCGACCTTTAGGTCTGAGAAGAGACAAACGGGGAGACACTGAAAACCTCTGCCGTCCTGCTCAGAGTTGATCCAAGCAGCTTATATTTACTACAAACTGTTGTACGTGACATTAAAACCGTTCTCGTCTTTACAGAGAATCACTTATTACTACTTCACCACCAGTTTTAGATGTTCGCTGCACACTTTATTTTTTTTAAATTGCTAAGTCATCTGCTCTGTTTTCATCTTATGCATTTTGTGCTTCAAGAGGCGCAGAAATAAAGTTCCAGACTCATTAGAATTTTAAGGACAACTACAAAACACGGAAAACTAATCACCAATTAAAATAATTAAATAAACCAAACTACGACTGCAGTTAAAAATAATCTTACTTAACTATCACGAGTCTCATCAGCTGGGAGGAGATGATTCTCGCCGCTAGTCGCCGTTATCAGAATATATTTGTTTTTCACTGCGTGAGAAGAATGATGTGTGGCGCTCAACACGTTCGTCTACACAGCGTGACTGAGAGGTCAGCAAGCCGTTTATGACAGAAGAACGCACAGAAGTGAAACCACAGACGCCAGCTTGTTGAAGATTTTGTGGCTGTGTGGGCGGATCCACCACGTGAGAGTAGCGTCGTCAGACCCACTTACACCGTGTTCAGCACAACACGGAGGCTGTCAAGCAGCCTAATGCTAAAAGTTTTAGCATATTTCAGTGGTTTCATCTGTAATAATCTGCATCACGAGGCTGTTTCTAAAATGTGGAAGACGAACGGAGAAGGTGACGAACCTGAAGAGGCAAAAATGACGACAACATATCTGTAACATGGCCGCTCCGCGACACAAGTACTTTCAGGGGGAAACACTGCGCAGCCGGCTGCAATCTGAAAACTACGTATAGCCCCTTTAAATAAAATATCACCAGTAATAGCGGTACCTCTCCTCCTCCTGAGTGTGTCCTCTGACGTCGTGCTCGAAGAACAGACCCTTCCTCGGGATGTAGGCCGGGTTCTTTCTGTCCTCGTCATCGTCGAGCTTCTGACCGGGTTTCCCTCCGTCCTTCGTTTCAGGGTCGTCTGTAGACTCCTGCATGTGTGTCAATGACAGAAGACGACTTAATGACGGCAGCGTTCAGCCATCTGATGTTCTGGGAATAAAGCCGCTTTTAATTTTAAGGTAAAAAGACAGTGATACACATTTGAGCCTCTGAGATGTTCAGAATTACTAGATATTTCAGTGTTTTAGGACGTGTGTATTTAAAACACTGAATTAGGAAGCAAGCAGTGAAACTGATGCAGCTGTACGTCCAACATGTTGTCAGTAATAAAGTTATTATGTCTGGCTGAATGTTTGTTTGGCCCCGTGTTCACAAATAAACAGGAGGACATTTTCAGCGGCGGATTAATCCACATGCGGCGCTCTGAAAACAACAGTGAGATATGAAGCTGTGGCTGAAACACCAGCAGGGGCCGTCTCACCTGTCCGTCGCCGCTCTGGCGCTCTCCGGCCAAGTTCCCTTTCACTTCGGCCTTGGTCTCCTCTTTGCTCTGTCCTCCTCCTCCCTCCTTGTCTGCCACGTCCTCCTCTTCCTCCCCCTCCTCACCACCCTGTTGCTCCTGCTGCTCCTTCTGCTCCTCCTCCTCCACCACCTCGGCCTTTGTGGCGCCTTCGTCGGCAGCTGGGGGTTTGGGCTCGCTGGCTGCTGCCGCTGGTGCTTCTTCGTCGCTGAAATGCTCCGCCTCCTCTTCCTCCTCCACTCCCTGGGGGAACACAGGAATATGTCGTTTAACGAACCTCAAACCGACGGTCCAGTACGGTCTTTCTCAGGATCGCTGTCGGACGCCGGAGCGGTTTTTACATTTATTAACTACTGACTGAATGGCGGGAGTGGTCCATGAACACAGAGCGGTCATTTTCTGCCAGAGTTTTAGTCACTTCACACGACAGACGTGTTTTATCTCACTGGACTCTGGATGATGACTGAAAAAGCAGAGTGGGTGAGCAGAGGCTACTGGCTTTAAATCAGCATGTCGGCCGTTTTTCTACTACTGCTCCTCTTTTTTCCTTGTTACATGTGTACACAGGATATGGTTTGGTTCTGTAGTTTAAGGCGCAGCAGGAGTCCTTAGCTCTTGTATAGTTTTTATTTCTGTTCTTAGTTTTTACTTCATATTTACTCATGACTTTATTTCTCTCTATTCGTCGGTCTTTATGCTGCTGCATCACCCGACCCCCCCGCTTCCCCTTCGGGACCAATAAAGGCTGATCCTTTATTGATCAGCCAGTGTGTTTCCTGCTGAGATGCATCTTTGGTCTCCACATCAGCCTCTCGGTGAGATCTAAGACCACCAGTGTGAACAGTCGACCAAAGACTTCTGAGTGCTGACAGAGACTATTGAACAGGAGACACACTCCTGCTATTTAAAACATGATCTTTGGAAATAAATTGGTTTTACCCGCTTTTGAAAAAAGAACAACAGGCTCCAGATGTGTATTTCAAACATTTCCCACAGAACGACGGGGGTGCGGTCGATACCGACCACCAGCTATAAACAGCCTGTTGGCCTCGAAAACATTAACTTAGCTCTCCTTATTAGCTAGGCGCCTTACATGCTTGCTAATAACTTTATAAGAGGGACGAGCGAGAGGATGTGCTGCACAAATAGCCTGCAGCTCTGCAATCAATTTTTAAATAGGCCTAGTAAAAAAAAGCGTTGGTCAGCGTTGATATTGATAGATGGAACAAAACCCGTGGGCTGCGTGAAACACAGTATATACGGTGGTGGCGATGAACCGCTGCTGAATTATGAAATTTCACACATTAACTGATATCAATGGGCCACTTATGTTTTGCAGGAGAGCAACACATTTGCCAAATTTATAGGAAGTAACACTAACTAGCCGTGTGTCGTTACTACCTCTCTTCCAGTGGGAGATCAGGTAACACTTCTGTACAGCTTTGTCGTGTAAACAAACTATACATCTGAAAGTTCAATCATATTTCAAACTGGTTGTTAAAGAGGAGCTGAGTTCAGGAGAGCAAGTCAGGGACGTAAACTGGTCCTTTTAAGCTAATGAGGATGTTTCTTGGTAAATAGTTTAATTCTACGGAGGGAGAGAATAAATGAGCTGGTTCGGTTAAAGGAAACATTTTTCCTTGGGGGTTTAAGTTTCCTGATCTTACTGGACCTGCAGGAGCCGCGGCAGACTTCACAGCGCTGACCCTGCTCTCTGATAGATGTCCGTTTGTGTCTTACCTCTGAATGGGAGCCGTTCTCCTCCGGATCTGCACTGTCGTAGTCGGACAGAACCGCTGAGGGGAACACACAGAACAAAAGAGGGGAATATCATTTGAGGGTCGAGGTTCAGAAAACAACAACGGGCCTCACAGGGCTCCTCTGGCTCAGGTAGGTAACAAAGTGCCTGTACCCAGCTAGCCAGAAACAGAACCCGAACAGAGGAATTATTAGTATTTGGATTACATGTCATGTTTTACAAGCTGGTGCTTTGTTATATTCACACTTTTTAAATCTAATGTTTATGTTCTTGGTGCCAGATGTTGCTGTGAAGTGAGACATGTCTTACCTTCTCCTACTCCATCTTCACTCTCCTGCAAAGAGAGACACACACAAATAATCAGCATCAGCGAGTGTTAATCTGCAGGAAGCACATCCAAACAGTCGCTGAGGGAGCTGCCTGCTGCGAAGGACTTGAGTGAGAGGGATATGAAACTTTGCTCAGGGAGCTGTAGGACTTTGCATTAATCAAGTATGCTGTAGATTATTTAATCGAGTAATGGGATTAGAAATCCTTTTGCTTGGCGCCCTGTGTGCCGGGATCAGCTGTAACGTTCCAACACAAACTCACAGACGGACCAGTCGGAGAACACAACAACACGTTTCTACATTTACAGCTAAGAAGCGAGTCTCACCTTTGCTGGCCTTCATCTCCACCAGCAATCATGATCTACATTAAACGCCAACGCTCACAGACAGACTCACCGCACAGAGCTGCTGTTTTCTGTTGGCTTGAAATGATCCCTGACTCTGGACACTTTCTGTCTTTGTCTCTTCTTCGTCCACTTTGCAAACAGCGCCATCAAATCACACCGCCTGTGCGAGTAACAATCATCCGTGCAAAACAGCGCGCTGATTAAACAATGCAAATAATGAGCAGAATTAATCCTTTCAGCCCGAGTGGGTACTGATTACACTGATCATCCCTTTCACTGCTGTTGCTTCCCATCTGGGGAAAGATTTCAAACCAGTTCTCTCCCCAAACCAAACAGGAAGCGCCCCGTGCTTTGTAGTAACTCCAACTAGCGGCCAAAACGGCGGCTGTAACACGGTGGATCGATATGTTTGACTGTCACAACGACGATGACACGCGACTTACAACTCTACATATGTCGCACGCCTCTGGAGCAACTAGGGACTAAGAGTCTTGCTTACAGACATGTTGATGGATGTGTCGCAGTGGGAATCGAACCCAGGAGTCTATCCACTGAACCATCGTCTCCACAAAGAGGCTAAAAACGGCTTCTCCTTTTTGCTGGGCGTTCGGACCAAAAACTGCGACCCAAATGAGAGGAACAGATCTGTGAGTCTGAAGGTTTAACAGACACCTTACTGTTCCAGTAACCACTGAGCAGGATGAAAACCCTACAGCAGTGGAAAAGCGAGGGATCGAGCTTAAAAATAAATCAGAAATGACAGAGAGGCTTTCTGTAACTTCAGGGTTGGGATACCCGGAACATGGCAGCGTGGAGTCATGACAAACATCTGGGAGACGTGTATCATGCTTGTTTGAGCGTAAGAAAACTTTCCAAAGTAAAATC